GTAATTAAGGCAAGTAGAATTTTAAAATAAACTCACAACATACTGAACCCACAAAGTAGCCAGCTACCTTTGAACCTAGCATGTTCTGTGAACTGATGTAGATATTTCATATTTCTGTATGTTGTTTGAACCTACAACATTAGATTAAATTAGATGGATTCAGAAAGACATTACAACAGCAACCCAGAAAATAATTAGGTTATGCCTGTGTGTTGTGTATATATGCACATGTACACGTACATGTACATATGCATATAGGATTTATTTAAAGCAGTTTCATTGGTTTTCCATAGATGGATCATAGCAAATTATATAATGGGAACTGTACAATTTAGAAATTTGTGGTAGGAAAGGGATCTAGAGGTAAGATCCTGCTGTGAACCTGTCCAGGTCTCTAGAAAACTAGGCAAAAATGGACTGCCAAATCATACTGTAACAAAAAATGGAAAAACAAGATGGGAATCATATTGCAAGTCATCTGTGATGTGGAAGGTTCCCATTTATTTGTTAATTACTCCTAACCTCCAAATCCATCAAAAATGAATTTGCAAACTCATAAATTGGATTTTCTTGTCCCTCTACATGCTGGAGTTAATGTGTTTAACCACCATTGCTAGAACAAAATCCAGATATATTCGGTACATTCAAACTTAATGTCTGGTAGAAAATGGTCAGATACTACAATCAACAAATCATCGTGCAGACATGTATTTAATTTATATCTATTTTACCATTAGCATTAGTACTCAAATTAGTTTGAAATAAAATAAAATAATAAAATTGCATTTTAATTATTACATTTTCCCTTATTAGCAAGGTGGCTTCAGCACTAAAACATGAACATATATATTCATATCAGCAAAAAACAGGAGCAATGAAACAAGTTTATCTTTCTTTGCAGGGAATTCAAAACCTTTCTAAAAGGGACAGAGATTTAGAAGAAATTAATTTGCATAGAACAGAGAACAGAGGCTGAAATATGTTATTTTCAGTTCTAAAACAGCTTGTTTCCAAAAATATTGTATAAACTTTAAAGATTAAAGTCAAATGATTAGGATAGCTAAAGAACAAGCAGAAATACAATACTTATGCATGTGCTTTGTTTGTGTTAAATTACCTTCCTCATCTTTTCACATTTCATCAAGCTGGTTTACATCATGAAAAATAACACATACAATTAAAATGAGGGATACAAAGATACCTGAAAGTATAGTCATCTGGTAGATGCACAGCCATATCAGTTTTAATAAACAAAGACATTGTAATAATCAAAGATTCATGTGACTGAAATGCCCTTCTATTTCCCTAGTGTGAAACATGTCTTCCTGAGATTATGTTAAAATTACTGACATTGTTATTACATGGCTGTCCCACATGTAAGTTATGGTTGATTGCATATACTTACAGTAGTTGCCAGAACCTTCGTTTTGAAACAAGACAAGTGTATATAGAATATGCTGGATCTGTGCATTCACTCTGGTTGGCAGTATTGAAAAAGCATTGCAAAGTCAAGGCATTCTGAACAATGACTTTGATATAAACCCAATTCAGCTTATTTGGATTACTCTTTATCCCTACCTTTAAGTCCTTTTGATTCTGACATCAGAAGCTCTTTTTCCACATCATCTCCTCAGCCAGCAGAAACAAAACAATGTAATTAGAAGTCAAACATCCCACTGATCTGATAAACCTATTTTGATATTTAACCTGTTAAGCTGTTAACAGCTTTCAAAGCCCTTAATGCATTGGCTGAAAATATTAATTGTTGCAGAAATTTTGCAGTCCACTGTGGAAGAATGATCACAGTGGTTTTAGAATATTATTTGTCTTGCAAATTTTTCCCCCTAAAAAAACAAAAACATTGTGATCTATAAGTCTTGGTGCCCTAGTTTGCTTATCCTGTTGGGTAGGAAAGATTAAAATCCCATTAAGCACACTGAAAAACAAACAAACTGAAAGGTTACAGCAGTTTGGTCTTTAGGTCTTGCTGCCTGTTAGTTACCAGCTCTCTGAAGCATTTGGGGATCTCCTCACAAGAGATCAGTTTCTTCAAGAGAAAAAAAATAGATAAAAAGATTCATCAGAATGTCAAAATCTAAGATTAGTCAGGAATTGTGAGAATCTGTGAATGATACAGGCACTCCCAAACTGGCTATCATGAGAAGCTTACTTGTTCAGAAAAGACCCCTCTATCGTGGATATTGATACCATCCTTGTAAAGGTAGTCCTCGATTTAGAACTTAACACCTGCAGTGATTTATTTAATAACTGTCGCAAGAAATGTCATAAAATGGGGCAAAACTCACTTAACAACTGTCTTGCTTAGCAATGGAAATTTTGGACTCATTTGTGGTCATAAGTTGAGGATTACTAACATTTATTTTAACCCAAACTTATAAAATCACAGAAATCTTCCTTTCTCAATCCATTGATTTCTAAAACCTTTCCCAATATGATTATATCTAACCAAGTTTTTGACTTTGAAGAAAAGACACTTTCTCGATATATTCAACTGGCTGAACCAACCTTTACTTTGTTCAACATAACTTCAGTTAGCTAATTGGCTTGTTTATACACAATTCTGAATCATAAGCAAACAACATGATGAGAACAGTGATGTGTATAAATCAAGTCTACATCCTTGATGCATATATATCAGATAATGCACATATTTATTTGGTTTTCGGTTGCAATTTACAATATTGAACAATGCAGACAGAGGGTGTAGCATAAAACTGATATAAAACTGAATCATTATGTGCCATTTAGGATAGACCAGAATATTAATAGATTGAAAATAAAATCCTCAGAATATTTTTTTTTCTGATTAAATGCAGGCAATGTAAGATTTCAGTGTTTGCAAATCCTTTTTCCCAAATCAATTTGTGGCATTAATCCTCTAATGGTATTATTCCCTTAGAATATTTTCCTTTAGGATTATAGAGTCATGATGAGGCAAAGTACAGAAATCCACTTTAATCTTTGAATTATAGATGTGTGGGAAGGAGCTAAAGAGATTGTCCTTGGAAAAAGGTTCGTCTCCCTTCTATTACCTTAATGCCTTCTCTTTCTGACATATTATTGAGACTAAGAATATATTTAGTATGGTTGGTATGCGCACAATTGCAAGTTCTGGATCAGCAAGTTCTTCCCTTAATCGCTCATATTATAATAAGCTTATTTTTGAACTTTTGTAATTTACTGAACATGGAACTTGTTCTTGCAGACCAATAAGAAACTATAGCTGGTCCAGAATATATAGGCACAAGCTGTTACTCTAATGTGACACCTTTATTATATGACACAAAGGTGCTTTTCCAAAAGGCAACTGAACTTCCTTGGTTTTTTTCCTTGAAAATGTTTCACTTCTCCTCCAAGAAGCTTCTTCAGTTCTGAACTTCAGAACTCAAGGAGCTTCTTGGATGAGAAGGGACATCTTTTCAAGAAAAAAAAGCAAGAAAGTCCAGTTGCCTTTTGAAGAAGCACCTTTGGGACAAACATGACCTGGATGATTGAGAATCTCCATAGACTTTACTTTATGAACTGCACTGGATATCAATTAGTTTCTGGGTGCAGTTAAAGATACAAGTTTTCACCTATGAATCCCTTCATGACTTCAGGCTTGCAATTTATGGGACCACTTGCCCCCAGTTCTCTTTGCCTGTCCTATAAAATCAGACAGGGTTGTTGTACACCAGGTCTCTTCAACAAAATAGTGTGATCTTTTCGGACCAGAAAGATGCCTTTTATGTTGCTACTTATTTCTGCTATTTGGAACAGTATTCTGTCCACAAAGTCCATTTGGGCCTGAAATTATTAGCATTTTGAAGGGTTTTAAAACTTGGCTCTTCCAGCAAGCCTTAATCAAGGCATTTTGTGAACTATATGAATGTTTGATATTTTCATGCTTATATCCCCTAATGTACTCTCACGGATTCTGATGGATGACAAGTGATTGAACCCATATTGCATATTTGCAAACCAAATAAAGGATTTGACCATGTTTACCCAACCTGTCAGTTTATAACTACACAATTCTAGAAATGTTTTTATCGCATCCTTCATAGATTGCTCTATTTACCCAACACCACCTGTCTTTGGGGCAGACTGCAATAAGCTAACTCCTACACACTCATATTGCGAGGTAAGCCATGTTCGAGGCAATTACAAGAACAAAAAGATTATTTAGGAAATGTAAAATATTAACACAAAGGATTGCAGCATAAACCTTTCCTTAGTACCTTACCCAATTGACTTTTCTGGAATTAAACTCATCAATAATCTGATATGTTGCTTTTTGGTTCATGTTCTGTCTTGTGACTGAATAGGTAATATTACACTGTGGACTTAAGTAATTCTTCTGAGATTTATCCTCTGCCCATTTATACTTTAGGGTTATTTTCTTCTTGCTTTCAAAATCATAGTTGCAGTTTGGAATTGAATGTAGTTCAAGAAATTGGCAAGAGTCAGGAGGCATCCAAACTGAATTAAAGAAATAAACAAAAGAATCAATCAATCAATACATTTAGCCAGGATTATCTTTGGTTTTGAGCAAACCACTTATTTCTTAGCTTGGGTTTCAAATCTGTAAAATAGGAATAACAACAACCTGTTCAATAAAATAGTAAATGCAGGTACAATGAAGCCTACATAGATCTTTTAAAATTAAACATACTGAATAAACAGAAAGAAGTTATTTCTGAGATAACTTTTACTTTTCGTTTTACTTATAATATTAATTTTCTTAGTTATTTGGTTCCACAATTTTCTCAGAGTGCATCTATTTATCCTTAAAACTAAAAGGAGTAAAAGATTAGAGAACACACTGAACATGTTCTTGAAGTATTGAAATTTGAGCTATAATTGACTCAACCCTTGGAAAACAAATGTAATGCAACAAAGGGTCACATGTAGCAGTGGGATCAAAGTCTATGAAATTATTCTCCTTTTAGTTTTGGAACTGCAGAAAAGAAGGAAGGAAGGAAGGAAGGAAGGAAGGAAGGAAGGAAGGAAGGAAGGAAGGAAGGAAGGAAGGAAGGAAGGAAGGAAGGAAGGAAGATTTAAATGAAATATTCAAGCAAACTGTTTACTAAATCTTTGGCAAAATTTGGGTGAAAATAAAAGAACCAAAATCAATTGAGAAAAAAATCTGCTTGGAGCAACATCTCTCTAAGTTTTTGAAATCTGCTATAGATTTTTAGATTAGGAATAGTTTGGCTTTTGGCCTCTTCTTCCAAAATTTACTACTTATCTCAGGAAAGTTATGTTAACAGCAGAAATTGTCCAAGAAGAACTGAAGCAGAGTGAAGCAGTTAAAATGATCAAGCACCCATGTTGAAAATCCCACTGCCAAGGCTGATTTAATTTGCAAATGAGAAACAGTTTTACAGTGCATGGGCAAAGGTAAGTTACTTGATTTAAAATGTATTCTGTGAAGTTGTTCAACTTTTAAAAGAAAAAAACCCCTTTCAAATATGTCTTATTTTTGTGTATATGGTGCCTATGAACCTTATTTCTAATGGGAGATGAGAAGATTGCAAGTTCCAATAATAAACATTGTGTAATGTTTATCTAAAGAGATCACATAAAGCTGATAATATTTCTGGATTAAAGCTATCATATCTAGAAGTAGATTTCAAAAATATCTAAGCTAGCTTTGTTTTGTCCAGTAAAATACACACATACACACAAACACACACACACACACACACTGGCTAAGCATAAAGGCTTTCATTAATGTTTAACAAATCCCTATTTTCCTCAGATTTCTACTAGAATTCTTTCTTCCATCCATCTTATACAGAGAACAAAATTTATATGCTGCCTCCTTTTCAAATTCTGTTCAAGCATAGTCTAATTCAGCGGTTCTCAACGTTTGTGTGACGGCAACCCCCGTCACACAAACGTTATGCGCATGCGCGGCGCGGCACGCATGGGGGTGGGGCCCCCGCACGCGGCACGCATGGGGGCGGGCCCCCGCACACGGCGCGCACGCGCGGCGCCGCCTCCCGGAGGCACGGCGCCGCCCCCATGCGCGGCACGCATGCGCGGCGGCGCCCCCCAGAGGCGCGCTGCCGCCCCCAGAGGCGACAAAATGGCGGATCGCCGCGTTTGGCGACCCCACAAAAGAGGTCGATCGACCCCAAATGGGGTCGCGACCCATAGGTTGAGAACCGCTGCCTTAAGATGTTGCAATTGCAAGATGACATGGTTGTGAATTCTTTCCCTGCCCCATTGGCACCCATGTTTGCACGAGTGTAAATAAGATATGAGCTATTGTGACCTATCGCTTAGGTCTTTATTCCAGTTCCCACTAAAGACATTACTGGTATGTGACCAACACTGAACTGTATTTCTTCTTATGTCATAAGGGCTGTATTTTAAGGTTAGGAGGGAAAGCTCACAAAAATAAACAATAGTCAATAGGTCCAATGGTTCCTCTAGGCGGGATATTAAGAGAAGTCAAAGAGACCATCTATATTAAAATTGAACAGCCGTCTCTCAACAGAGGGGGAGGATACGACATCACCTATCCTCTGTTTAAAACACAGTTCTTTCAGCAGTTCCATGAAGGTTCCACATCCATTTGCCCTCTAATTCATGTGATCCTGAGCGTATAGATAAGCCCCCAAGTGGCTTCAATGATTCTCAGAGAGCTAATGACTGACCTTCAGAGTGCTAATAACCAGATGACTGCAAACAATATAAATCAACCTATTCTCCACCATTCAGCCAGAACTGCAGATACTTCTTGGATGAGAAGTGAAATGTCTTCAAGGGAAAAAACCCAAGAAAATCCAGTTGCCTTTTGCAAAGCACCTTTGGACTAGTGGGCTAAACATTTTGGTTTGTCTCCTTTGTAGATTAGTGGACTGAAAACACATTTGCCCTAATAAGAATGGATGTATATCTAATTGTTCCAGTTCAAATAAACTCAATCATAACTCATATATTACTATGCTTGAGTGTAAGAACAATAAATTCAAATTGCCATGCTGCTATGAAGTTCACAGGTGTAGCTTTCAGTCATACTATCACTCAACTGAAGTATGCAATTCCTTGGAGCTCAAATTAAGTCCCACTGAATATACTAGAAATTCTTTCAGTGAACCAAAAGAACACTGAGTCCTTTTTAAGTAGACTGAGAAGAACAGTTTAAAATTGATGATAATCTTAGACAAAGCCATTTAGTTCTCAAATGATATATGTGCAAATTGCATTTTAGAAAAGAGCATGGTTTTCAAAGAGGTCAGCCTAATAACCAATGCCAAGAGGTACAACAACAACAACAACAACAACAACAACAATAATAATAATAAAGAACTGAAGCATACAGCTGATTGATATTGCTGTACCAGGAGATGCCAGAGTTGAAGAAAAAGAATTGAAAAAAATTACGAAATATCATGACCTGGCCATCGAAACTGCGTGATTATGGATGAAACGTGTAACAATGATACCCATTGTCATCAGGGCACTGGGAACTATGTCCAAAACCTTTACAAAATACATCAAGAAACTGTAGCTTCCTGCAATAACTCCAGCAATGTTACAAAAAACTGCGCTATTCGGAACATCTTATATTTTAAGGAGGTACCTGGTTGACACCTAGGATGCTGGTAGCAACCTGTGCCAACTATCAGCGCCAGCCAATTTTAATGTTCAGTTGACTGAGGTTTCATGTCTAATGAATAAAAGATAATAATGATAATGATAATGATAACAATGATAGTGATAATGATAACAACAACAACAACAACAACAATAATAATAATAATAATAATAAAGTTGGAAGAGACCTTGGAGGTCATCTAGTCCAACCCCCTGCTCAGGCAAGAAACCCTGTACCATTTCAGACAAATGGCTATCCAGTCTCTTCTTAAAAACTTCTAGTGTTGGAGCATTCACAGCTTCTGGAGGCAGGTTTTTCCACTAGTTAATTGTTCTAACTGTCAGGAAGTTTCTCTTTAGTTCTAGGTTGAGTTTTTTCCTTGATTAGTTTCCATCCGTTGCTTCTTGTCCTGCCTTCTGATGCTTTGGAGAATAGCTTGGCTCCCTCTTCTTTGTGGCAACCTCTGAAATATTGGAACACTGTGAGTGTCAATGTCTTGTTCTGGTTCTGCTTGGGTGATACCATCTCTTGCTTATCTAGGAAAACTATGAACAATTCATAAGAAATAGCATAAGATCAGACAAAGATGAAAACAAAGCAGATCACAACAGATTTCCTCTTTATCACACAACTATTAACCAGTACTTGGATAAGCAAGTGATCAGATCAGCAAACCAGGACCAGTTAATAACACCCAGTAGCTTATTTCCCTTCATGGTAACAATAAATATTCCAAGAGTCCTAGATAATGGAAACATTTGTAAATAGGAAAAAAAAAGAACCCGCACAACCCAAAATTTAAGCTTTTGCTTCAAGGATAAAAATATGAGTTTTGTAATAATTCACATGTTGCACGCAAAAGTAGTATGTCTGAATATACTTTTATAAGGCAAAGACACATTTTACAAAGGCACTAAAATGAGTCAGCAAAATTGTGTCAACATTTACACTCAACAAACCTGTCTGACTATTTGTGTCTTAACTAAGGTAACTAATTGCACGCCTTTACATCTGTCTTGATTCCTGGTGACTTCCTGGACAATTTTGTGCAGTTTGCTTGGCAACTTTTTTTTTTTAGAAGTGATCTCCCTTTGCTTTCTTCTACCTAGGGCAGTGTTACCTAGGGCAATGCTGGCTGTGGAATTCTGGGAATTGAAGTCCACATGCCTTAAAATTGTCAAGGTTGAGAAACACTGACCTAGGGTTACCCAGGGAAAGTGATGGGCTCAGAATCACCCATTTGGCTTCTGTGCCTAAGGCAGAACTGGAACTCATAGTCTCCTAGTTCCTAGCCTGATAGCTTTCATATTCATAGCTGGCGAAGTCAATTCATTTTCACCAACTTTATTCACCAAGGAGGCCTTTGCATTTCCAAAACGAGGGCAATTAGAGGCCTCACAAAGAGGGTCAGACAGTCCATGCTTCCTGGCTTAGCTTTGTTGGTAGATGCTGAAATGGTACGTTTCTAGTTTGTTTTTCAGCAGATAACTTGCTGTCTTCTACTTCTCAAGCAGAAACAATGTCATACCATTGGAGAGTTCAGCAGTTCTGGGGGAAAATGGGCAGATTGCCCTCTGACAAGAATTTGGATTTAAACAATTGTACATTGGATGCAGTGGATATAATGGAGCTGAGTGAGTATACTTTTGTGATATTTCTTTTCACATATATACATATGCACATGCATCAATTATCTTCTCTGAGGCCCTTCAAGAATCAACTTTGTATTTGAAAATTTGGAATATCTCATTCTGCTCTTCTTATGTGGAATCTTCTTTCTCTTTAACTCTCCAGCCACTTCTCCTTCTTACTTCAAGCCCTTTCCTAAAAACCTTTTCTTAACAATTTAGAGCAGTGTGTCTCAACATCAGCAACTTTAAGATGAGTGGACCAACTCCCAAAAACCCCCAGCCAGTAGGCTGTATTTCCTGCATTGTATGGACTTTTGTTCTAAATTTTTCAGTTCCTCCTTTCCACCCAGTGGGAATGCATTTAATGAATTCCATCCACTGAAATGTATTCCACATAATATCTCCTCATCTTTAAGGTGCCTTGAGACTATAATTTATTTTGCTGCAATAGACCTGTTATGAGGAATTACCATTAATTCATTAACTCATTCAACTGCTGCATTTCCACAAAACAATAAACAGTTTACCTTATGGGAATGGAAAGCTAGATTTTCACATTTATTTTCTCTCTCTCTGCTTCTTTTTTAATGCTGTTGAGAGTTGTAAATCAAAAGAAAGATGATCTACTTATTATTTTTATTATTATTGTGTAATAATAAGCAATTTGAGATTGCTATTTACTTTTTAGTAATTTATTAAAATAAGTCATCTTTAATTTATCATTTACAAAGCAGGCTTATTTGAGCAAGATATAGTTAGAGCTATCTGCAGTTTGTAACATTAAATAGTATTAAATAGAAATGTACTGTAAAGCTTTCCATCTCCTTGTGGCTAGAGAGGAGAGGAAAAAAACCCAGGAAAATATATATATGCTCAAGACTTCATCAGACTTGTTTTCTTAGTGATACATCATAGCACCTGTGTGTGAATCATTGTGTGAAAATATAGCCAAGTTCTGTTCACACAACCTGCTTCACTCTGGGTAACTGTGATGCTGCTCTTTCAACTGAACAGGGAATAAAGAACCAGCAAAAGTTTTAAAGAGGAGTACATTCAACTACATTGTCTAGGTTTACAGAACACACAAAGATGTGGTTGGATGAGTTCAGTGTGAATAGAGCCATTATTTTATCTTCGTGACTTCACTTCTACTGCTACCTCCCAAGTATATACAGTAGAGTAGTAGAGACATAGATTGCATTGGTGTGGCCTACTGTTAGCCTTAAACTAATAAACTTGGATGCAGGAGTTTAATTTAAGAGAAATAACATTCATTCATGTTCTAGCCTTGCCATGTGTTAGCAATCTTTCTCTGTTGCTTGACTGCCTTTTAGCTACTGTAATATCACTGCTGCCAGATTTGGAGGAGATTGATCTTTCCTGGAATGACTTCATAGGAGGAAAACTAGAACATCTGGCCCTTCAGTTCAAACACCTGCAAGAACTGAAAGTCCTCCAGCTGAACAGCTGCAGACTCACCACCAAGGATGTTGCATGTTTAGGTACCATTTAGTAGTAGTAGAATCCACGAAGTTATCCCAATTGACTATGTTATTAAAGAGACTGATGGATGATGGGTGAAATTGCAAAATCTAGAAGTGCTGATTGTTTGAATTGTCTCTAGCGTATACCTGGGTCCGTCCTGAGGCTAAAGCAGGGGAAGATATTGAATCTGATCTGAAGTCTAAATTCTGCTCCTTCCATATCTCCATGAACCAGGAGATGGTCAGGCCCTGAGGAGAAAGGAAGGCTGGTCTTCTAGGCAGAAGCTCTGCCACTTGTATCATCTGTTTTCTCCAGATAAGGTCTGTGTTCCCTGCACGGTAGAAAACAACCACTAAAAACTGCCGCAGTGATTACTGATAGCAGAGAAATTTACTCTGTTCATCTTTGATCCTCCAATTTTGCCTTTTTTAGACAATACAAAAAAACTTCACCTCAATTATCCTTCAAAATTAAGATTGCTGTCTCAATATTGAAATGCATTTTCTCACTATATCACTATAGCATATTTCATTTTACACTGGAACCTGTGTAAAAACAAATAGACAAAAATGCACATATTCCTGAACATAATGGCACAGCAACACATCTATTCAGGAAAATTGGATTCAAAATGGTATGTTGTTACACAAAGTGGTTTGCAATGTGTAAAGAAGTATGGAAAAATAGCAAGTTAGTACAAATTAATTCAAATACATTCTCTAGCTACTGTGGAAATAAAGAACAGTGAAACAATTGAAGGAAACCAAATCTGTAGATTCATTACCTCCCTATTAACGACTGAAATCTTCAATAGTTTCATACCAGAGGTAGGCAACCTTGGCTCTTTTATGACTCATGGACTTCAACTCCCAGAATTCCTGAGCCAGCTATGCTGACTCAGAAATTCTGGGAGTTGAAGTCCACAAGTCATAAAAGAGCCAAGGTTGCCTACCCCTGGTATGAAACTATTGAAGATTTCAGTCGTTGATAGGGAGGTAATGAATCTACAGATTTAGTTTCCTTCAATTGTTTAACTGTTGTGTTGTGATACTTTTTGCATATTCAATTTAATATCCAAAACACCACAAGGAATCCCAAATGCTTTTTTTTTTTTTACAGGAGAAGCAATAGAAGGAATTCCTCACCTTGAAATACTGGATTTATCATGGAATCCTGGCATTGGGGGAAGCCTTTCCCTGCTAACCTCCAAAATCCTCAACGGCTCTAAACTCCATACATTAAAAGTAACAGATTGCTGTCTTACTCAGGAAGATGGCAAATCAATAGGTAAGATTCTGTGGCAGAGAGATGCTAACATCTTTGGAGTGTTCACTGCATTCGCTTATTCTTCAAACTAAGGGTCTGATTGAATGAACTCACGATTTTCCAGCTCTTCTAAGTGGTCCAGACAGGAAACCAAAATCATGAGGACTAAATACTACCTTTGTTGTAGGGTTACAGTAACAGTATCTATTCTGACTCAAATCTAAAAGTGCTTTCTTTTAAATCCAGTCAGATAATTAACTCAAAAGAAACGATCTTATAATAAACAAAATATATTTTAATGAGAAAGATTACTTGCAGTCACGCTGTGGTTGATGCTCCTGAAAATACATCTTTGTCCATCTTTAGATCATCCCTTTAGGTAAGAAGATATTGCTCTCCATACCATCTTTATAACGACTCAAGCTCATTGTGTGACCTTCCATGGCCCATGCTTCTTACAGACAAAGAGATTCCCATGTGGCTTGTGTCCAGGAAGTCTCCCAATGACCTTTGGAACTCCTCCCACTGACCCATCCACATACCTAGCATCTAACCCAATAACTGCCAGACACTCTGACACACTGATACCTGCTCTCTAGTTAGGGCTACATATACGTTCCAAAATAGTATCTAACAAGTGCTTCCTCCCTCCCCTGCCTTTAAGTTCCAGAGAACTAGGGAGAGTCTCTTCTGAGACACCCTCATTCCTCCTTTGGACTCAAATTTCTCTTATCAGACTCTTGCCCATGCTGTGAATCTTCTTCATGTCTTCCAAGGTTGCTTTCACTACCTATTACAATTTCCACATACAGAGAACATCATCCCTGCTTCTGTTGTGTGCATTATATTGTGCATTCGACAGAGTTAGGCTGGGATGAGAAGACAAGGAATAGACCAATCTTGGTCCATTTTATCCTGGAAGTCAGAAGAATTGGGAGACAAAAGGCTGGTCATGTGTATTGGACAATTATTGTGGATAATTTCCAGTTTAATTTGCATGCAGGACACATCCAGAACATCCAACTATATCTCCAAATCAGAGCACGCACCCACAGCACTTGCTTCAGCTAGTAAAAATATAGCTTAATATTTATTTATTGAACTTTTGCAAACTTAGGAAAATAATTATAAAAATAAATAGCAGGCAAAATTAGGAAAAGAAACATGAACAACACCATAGTTTACAATATTTATATCTATATCCATATATCTATATGTCCCAGAACGTTTGAAAGCCACTGGAAATTCTGTAGATAATTAACATGCCCTAAAAGGAGGAGCCATTGGTTATTATTGTAGCCTTAATCTCTTTTATATGTAACAACAGTAGAATAGAGGTGGGAAATAGCATGTGGTGTTTATTCTACATCATGAAAGAATCAACATGGCGGATAGGGATGATTTATCCAATAATAGAAGTGTCTGTTCCCTAGAATACATATCAATAATATTAGGGTACCATGCAAGTGGGTGCACTTGAAGATCTGCCTGCTGTAATGGTGTTATCTCAGGACTTAATGGCTATTGTGTTATATAACTTACTTTTTAAATTTAAATTTGATCTTAAGCCTGTCAAAGGCTTAAGATATTTTATTTCTTTCATTAGTTGTTATAAATGATATTTGGTGATTTGGTGCTGAATTCTGAGGATGTTTTCCTGGGCAGATCTGGAGATAGGAGGTTGGGGACTGCACAACCTAAAGATTTTCTAGCCCAGATCTTAGATGATGATAATAATAATAATAATAATAATAATAGTAGTAGTAGTAGTAGTAGTAGTAGTAGTAGTAATAGTAGTAGCAGTAGTAAAGTTGGAAGGGACCTTGGAGGTCATCTAGTCCAACCCCCTGCTCAGGCAGGAAACCCTACACCATTTTGGACAAATGGCTGTCCAGTCTCTTCTTAAAAACTTCCAGTGTTGGAGCATTTACTGCTTCTGGAGGCAGGCAGATGTTAGTCATAAATGGTCAAGAGAAAATTCTTTTTCCAATATTGTAGATGTAGTTTCTCAGACACTTGGAATCCATTACAAGAATTTTCAGAAACTTTATTAAAATGTCTCTGTGATATTTCTTTAGTGATCATAGTTCAGAAATGTTTGGGTAATTTCCTAAGCAGTAAATTATTTTTAAAAAATTCTTTGCAACTCTCTGCTATCCTGTATTCCAGTGTTCTTAACTGCATCTGTCTTATTTTCAGCTCAGCTTCTAAGTAGGATCCCCAGCCTCAAAATTCTGGACTTGTCAATCAATGTAAAATTGGGATGTAGCCTTAAAAGTATTGCTCAGGAATTACAGTTTGTTTCAAGCTTGCAAGTATTAAATCTGAACACATGTGGATTAGAACAAGACGGCTTCCATTCCATAGGTAAATATAGGTGTTGATTGGGAGCTGAGATTTTTTTTTCATCAATAAATTTGTATCCATTTTTTGGGGTGGGGATTGAAAACAACATGTTGAGGGAGGTGATGAAGGCTGGTATGGTCAAAGCACAAAAAGTTGGGGCTTGAAGTAAAAATCACATTTTGACATAAGCCCACATATCATTCCATCTGAAGGAGGACCAACAAAAGTAGGATCTAGCCCATCAAGCTACAGAGTTGTTTCATTACTGTAATTAAAGCTGAATTGTTCATAAATTTAATTTTACATTTTAGACATTTTTCCATTTTTTAAATGATTGTTTAGTTAAAATACTGATCACAAGCATCATTTTGTTAAATTCAGCATTTTGAAAACTGATTGCTTGAAATAATGTAAACTTTGTTAATGTTCAGAATAAGGATTCTTGAAATAAATGCAAGTTGTGAACAGAAAATTTAAATGTTTTTGCTTAAGAATATTTTAAATCTGCTTAACCTCTTAGTGAAGTTAGAACTTTTATAGAAAAAAGATTGAAACTAAAATTTGATAACTTAATTTAATAACCTCCGTTCAAATCTTAATTCTGAGCTAATCAAAATTAGATTATGCTTCAACCACATTTCTGACAAAAGAGAACTAACATAAAAGTGAATATGGTTAACAATCAGTTAAACAGCATTTATCCTTTTGGCTATGTAAATTCAACATTATTATATTATGTTTTAATCTTCTTGTAGCATTGTGTACATTCTTGAATCCCATCCTTATGGATGAAATGTGGTTTATCTATTGTACAAATAAATATTTCATATGTGGGTAATTATATAATTAGTAAAAACTTACCTATTTCAGATGCTGCTTTCCAATATTTATCGGAACTGAGAACATTAGATGTATCATGTAATAAATTGATTGGAGGAGTTTTCCAGTCTTTGGCTGGTCATTTGGCCAGTTTAACTAACCTTGAAATCCTGAATCTTCATCAGTGTTGTATTACAGAAGAGGACATGTTGGTTTTATGTAAGAAATATTTGGAAATGCCTTATAATGAATTGTAAAATCATTTAGCTATGAGAAGCAGTGTTTGTTGGTCCATGCAAAACTGCGATCATCAATTCTCCCAGGTTTTTAACAAAAGCTGAGAGCAGGGCCATTATTGAAAATTACAACAGAGAAATACATTTGTCTGCTCAGTTAAGTGAGATAAATATCCCAGTCTAATCAATTAAATCACCTTTAATGGGTTGTCAAAGACAGTTTAACACAATGAGATCATTACTTCAACAGAAGACACTCTTCAAGTGAGGGCTTTCTTCAATATTGGCTATAATGGTCAAGTTGCATTATCTTCTAAGATTGATATTGTTCCATTTGTTTTTAAGCTCTTACTATTATTCTATTTTTCAAATAACTTATAAATGTTGTGTTCAAGCAACTGAGGGAAGCAAAGAATAGAAGAAAGATTCACAGGCCAATACATGGAGCTGGTTATATATTAATGGATTCAAAATAAATTCTTCTTAATTTTACTGTAGTATCTCTGCTATCTATTTTTTTTTCCAGCCCAGATAATACCTCTTTTGTCAAATCTTCGGGAGCTGAATTTATCCTCAAATACAAATGTAGGGATATCTACCTATCAGCTTCTTAGCAGACTCCGATTTTTACCAAAATTGACATCTGTGCTCCTCTATCATTGTGCCTTGCAACATGATTCATTTTTGTCTCTAGGTAAGAACAGACTGAAATTCTGTCTTTGCCTCTTTGTGTCCTCCTCCTCTTTCTGGTAGAACTTGTTCATCTTCCAAGATCTTCTATTTATAGTCTGCCTATAGAGGCAGACACTCTTAAAATTAATACCTGGGTCCATTATTAAAAGGTATCCTTCAGTACGTCCAGTGTTTAGTTTCTTTTAGTTCCCTCTAACATCCAATTTTTAAAATTCAAAACTAAATCTTTTGGGAAGGATTCTTTATTTAAAATGTATTGGGCCCTTAATCCATTTGTACATTTCTAAAATCTAAAATCATCATAAAATGTGATCATATGTCTGTGGGATGCTGAAAATGGACATAAATGCAGCCATGTTGCTGAATGCCCAAACTGTGGTCATGTGATTGCAGGGGTGGAGTGATGGTTGGAACTTCAGAACTATGTCGTAACTTCCTTGTTCCAGGTAGAACATAACTTTGAGCGGTTGTTAGGCAACTGGTTGCAAATCAAGGGCTACCTGAATAGGGTTTTGTTCCTTAGTAGTAGTGAAAGAAGGTTCAGGGGAACAAAATGTTGGAAAATTGGTTTAATATATTTAGAAATCTAATTTGTATGCATAGGATCACCTTTCTTGGAAAATATACAAAAGGTTGTTGTTAATTTTTTCAGCTGATGCTGTCTCTCATCTTCCTGAACTGAAGCTAGTAGACCTTTCTTGGAATAAATGTGTTGGTGGCAACTTAAATCTGATTCTGAAAGCAATAAACCCTGATTCCAAGATCCAAGTGTTAAGGCTGAGCAGTTGCAGTTTGGTGGATGAAGATCTGATTGATTTAGGTAGGTACAGAAATTGTATCCACCCCCTCCATTCCTCCACACCTGTTCTATAAAAACTTGATTTCACTTTTGGTTTGTTCATTGGGTATAACATATCTCCTAAATATCACAGGACGTTTGGCCAGGAGAATAGTGTCAAATGGCTCCATTTTTATTGTGAACTAAACCATAATAACAATCTTTCCCAACCTAGTGTCTTCTGAACTGGTTCCCAGAACTCCCAGTAGCCTGGCTAAAGAGTCAGGTTAAAATAAAAAGATAACATTAGAATAAGGAAATTAAAAATCACTTTGTGGTTTTCCAGATTTAGTTTAGGAAGATGGGCATTACTAGCAAAAGTTCTTCAGTTAAAAGAGACATTATAGTGCACAGGTTTGTTACCAAAGATTGATGTTCTGACCCAACCGTCAATTGCTTGTGACCTAGCACTAACTAAAATGGCAGCCACCGACAGCAAAAGAGCATGTAATTATGCTTTTTTTTGCATAAATTTTATTAAAAGTTTTATAAAGAACATTAAATCTAATACAAACTAATACAGAATAAAGGAAGAAGGAAGAAAAAGCAAAAGTACAGAAAAGAAAAGAATTAGAAAGAATTAGAAAGAGAGCAGGGTAGGAAAGAAACCCCTTCAAAATTCTTATCAGCAACTGCAATCTTCATAGACAGGCTGAAACTGTTCTTTGACTTTCATTTGATTGGAGGCAAGGGAAAACATAATAGACCTAGCCTCTTTATGTTTAGCTTTTGTGTTTGAAGTACACAGGAATTCTAGGACAAATTCAGGCAAGCTGGCTGAGGAATTTTGGGAACTGAAGGCCACAAGTCATAAAAGGGTCAAGTTTGAAGACCCCTGGGTTAGGGGTTCTTCAGCGGTAACTCCATGAATTGGAAAAAGTCCCCTAGCAACAGAAAGTTAGAAGACATCAACTTTTATTTAAGTTTTTATAAATAGGGAGCTCACATGGGTCTCCCCTCTCAATTTTATCCTCATAACGCTATGAAATAGATTAGCTAAATAGTCATGTGCATTTCAGGAGATTTATGGTTGAACAGAAATTAAATTTAGATCTTTTCAGTCTAACCCAGGGGTAGGCAACCTTGGCTTTTATGACTCGTGGACTTCAACTCCCAGAAATCCTGGTCTAACCAATATGCTAATGCAGTAAGACTGCCTGTCCTTATTTACTTTCTCAAAGGAACAGTGGTTTAAAAAAACACATATGCTCCCAGTTAAAAAGTGCACAGCAGTGATGTCCATGTGAATTAAACTAGGAATTCTTGAATAACAGAATAACAGAGTTGGAAGGACCTTGGAAGTCTTCGACTCCAACCCCCTGCTCAAGCACGAAACCCTATTCCAGGGGTAGGCAACCTTGGCTCTTTTATGACTCGTGGACTTCAACTCCCAGAAATCCTGGTCTAACCAATATTCTAATGCAGTAAGACTGCCTGTCCTTATTTACTTTCTCAAAGGAACAGTGATTTAAAAAAACACATATGCTCCCAGTTAAAAAGAGTACAGCAGTGATGTCCATGTGAATTAAACCAGGAATTCTTGAATAACAGAATAACAGAGTTGGAAGGACCTTGGAAGTCTTCTACTCCAACCCCCTGCTCAAGCACGAAATCCTATTCCAGGGGTAGGCAACCTTGGCTCTTTTATGACTCGTGGACTTCAACTCCCAGAAATCCTGGTCTAACCAATATTCTAATGCAGTAAGACTGCCTGTCCTTATTTACTTTCTCAAAGGAACAGTGATTTAAAAAAACATATGCTCCCAGTTAAAAAGAGCACAGCAGTGATGTCCATGTGAATTAAACCAGGAATTCTTGAATAACAGAGTTGGAAGGACCTTGGAAGTCTTCTACTCCAACCCCCTGCTCAAGCACGAAACCCTATTCCAGGGGTAGGCAACCTTGGCTCTTTTATGACTTGTGGACTTCAACTCCCAGAAATACTGAGCCAGCCATGCTGGCTCAGGAATTTGGGGAGTTGAAGTCCACGAGTCATAAAAGAGCCAAGGTTGCCTATCCCTGCCCTATACCATTTCAGACAAATGGTTACCCAATCTCTTCTTAAAAACCTCCAATGTTGGGACAACACAACCACCCGTAGACAGATATGGAAGGCTGGAAGCAGATCATTGATAAACTCTCAAAATGAGTTGACATCTTTCCCAGTGAGTATATCCAGTTACAAAATGCTGCCTGACCAGAAAATAAGTTGGGAAAGTTGCTCCCCACCTCCATGTCTTATTGTAATCAGTTTAAGAATAACACCGAGGAGCAAGAGAAAGGGCCACATCCAAGTCAATGGTCAGAGAAAAGAAATCTTCAGATTTGTAAGATTCTGTTACTATAACTCTGTAATACAAGTAGTATTAGCATTCATAGCAAGTAGTATTAGCATAACCATAACTAGTTCTGCTTCGAAGAGCTGACCTAAATCGTGCAAGTCTGAATCCCCTTCCCTGGCTTTAGCCTAAAAAGAACTAGGGATGGTGAGATCTGAGATGTTTTCTTAAATTACTCTCAGAAGAATAATGTGGGGTTACAACTGAAGCCAGGGTTGCGCAAGAGCTAATAAAAATGAAATTCAGACAGCTATGAGGAAAGGAGAGGTTTGACTTGGGAGCAGAAAATGGGGTACAAAGGTATTGTTTTATAGGGGAGCCTGTCCTGGGTGCAGAAGTGTGTACATGCTGATTCTAGAGTGACACTTGAGGGACGTGGGTGTATGTAGCTACATGTCATCTATAAAGTTTATACTTGTGAACATGCAGTTCTGCTGGGAGACCGTTTTAATTAACTCTAGTTGTCTTTACAGACCGTTTCCTTTGATTTGTGGATTAAGTCTGGGCAACTTATTTATGGGGGTTGAGGAAGTCTGAGTAAAAGATTTTCCCTGGTTTGCTATTTTTACTTGATTAATTTAATTTCTTGACTATCAATTATGTAGCAGAGACTCTGATTCTCAATCCACCTTGGATTCTGTTAAGATTTAATGGAAGATGGCGGCAGCATAAGGAATAAAATATAGTTTGATATAAAAGTTCCCACAATACATTTCTACTTTGGACTCTTTTATTTTTTATCTGACCCTTGTCTTGTTTACTGCTGTTCCTCTTTCCTCAAGGCTATTCCTACAGCCCATTACAGGCTACTGTATTAAAAGCTTTGATATTTTCATTTTGAAGAGCTGAGATGATGAACTTTGGGGTCTTTGGTGCTTTCATTTTCTTGCAGACGTTTCAGTACCCAGGTAGATAACATCATCAATGTAACTTCTGCAAGACAACAACCAAACTCAGAAAGCACCAAGGATTCCACAGTTCAATCCTGGGTTACATATATGCTCTTCTAATGATGAACTCTTTTAGACCTCCATAGTTGCCTAATTTAGATAAAACGCATGTCACCTGGAAAGAGAGATGCCACTAATCTCTCTGCTTTCCATTATGACATTCCTTTCCCCAAAGCACAATTCCTGTTCTTTCCTGATACAAAACCCAACCTGAGAGTACAGCTTGTATGTTTTTAAACCGATTATCTACATTTCTTTTGGTTGCTTCTTTCAGCTTTGATCATCCAGGCAGGGCATCTGGCTCAGCTAAAGAATCTGGACCTCAGCTACAATAACAGTATTTCAGACCAAGGATGGGAGACCTTCTGTGGAAGCCTAGCTGCTCTCGGGCAACTTTCTGAATTGGATATTAGCTGTCGTCCTTCATCACAGTGTGGCTGTGGGGAATGGCTTGGGAAGCTGTTGGATGCCCTATCTCGGCTATTTCTGTTCACAGACCTAGAACTAAATGGTTGGCTTCTTTCTGTAGCTCAGCAAAAGCTACTTGAAGATTTCAGGTTGAATAAGAAATGAAATGTCCATTTCAAACTTTGATATGGAGCCTAAAATTTTGGAGTAGCATACAAATGGTTAGTTGGTGGATTGATACCTATTTTCTCCAATGCTACAGCAGGGGTCTCCAGACATGGTAACTTTAAGATTTGTGGACTTCAACTTCCAGAATTGCTCAGTCAGCCCAAAGGTTGGAGAGGAAAGGTGAAGAACTACATCTAATATCTAAGGTAAAGGTTTCCCTGTCAGTTGTGTCCGACTCTAGAGGACAATGGCTGTCCGTTGAAGGGAGCCAGTGTTGTCAGAAGACAATTTCTGAGGTCATGTGGCCAGCATGGCTATAAGCTTACTTGAAGATTTCAGGTTTGATATTAGACATCTAATATCTAGTCCTCACCTCTTGATGAGTGGATAGCCAGTGCTTTTTTTGTAAAAAAAAAAAAAAAAAAAACGGTGCCGGAACTCACACATGTCATACAACCTGCCTTGCCTACCCTACAAGGTTCCATCCAAAAAAAGGTGCCAGAACTCCGTTCTGGGTGTTCTATGAGAAAAAAAAGCCCTGTGGATAGCCAATTCAACCTCTCTTCATGCTTCCCATCCCAACCACATGTTCTTTTTACTGTTCTTTGAGCAGTAAAAAAAAATACTTATTTACCTCTGAAGATAAACAGAGATTTTAAAAAATAATACTCATTTGTTTGTGTTTATTCCTCTTGTTCTTTTTCTTGAAGGCTTTCCAAAGCCCCTGCACAGCCCAAAGAAATAATTATTTCTTCTTGTCTTTGGGTTTTTCTTTCTCCTTGCCTTTCTTCTCCTTTTTCTCTTTCTTGACCTTCTTGATCATTTTCAGGATCTCTGAATAGGCTCCGACCCCTTTGCGCACCATTAGGCCACGCCACCAAGCCTGGACCTGTGGGAACGAGGGGGGAAAGCCCAAATGTAGTTAACAGTGGCTATGTTCCCTTTGCAGATGCTGGACAGGCTATACTGAGCTCCTCCTTACTGAAAGTGGGTTTGTTCATTGATTCAGACATAAAATATTACAATGAATGCAACTCTTCTATTTTTTTCCACATCATTCAGTATCCTGCCCCTTTATTTAAAGCCACGTTTCCTTTATGATAACTAAGATTATTAAACCTGTACAATTTGCCTTTCTTTCAGCATTATTGCCCCCTAATCCCACACGAATCAGATTATACTTTTTATAGCAGTGCTTCTCAACCTGTGGGTCGGGACCCCATTTGGGGTCGAACGACCATTTCACGGGGGTCGCCAAACAACGCAGTCCGCCATTTCCCCCCCCCCTTTTCCTTAGCTGTGCTACTCCCTTGTATTCTATTGGCTTTTGAAAGCCAATAGAATAGACTCTCTTGAATAGAGTCTAATTCTATTGGCTTTCAAAAGCCAGTAGGAATTGTCCAGGCTGTCTCTGCCCTGCTGAGCCCGCCAAAAGTCCCATTCTGCAAACGGTGCTGCACCAGATGAGTAGTCCTCGACTTACGACCGGTTGAGTAGTCCTCGACTTACGACTGGTTGGGGGTCGCGGCATTAAAAAGGTTGAGAACCACTGTTTTATAGGATCATAATTTCCGAGGATGTTGTGATGGTTTAATCATGCTTTTCGGCAGTGCTTTCTTTTTGAAAAAAAAAAAAAAGGTGCCGGAACTCACACCCAGCTCTGGCTCCAGTCGAAAGCCCTTTACGGAGTGGGGGGGAACCACTTTAGGGATCTTCCGAGGCGCAGATTACATGAGCAGCATCAGCTGATGGAAGCCATTGTCGCGGGTTTTGAGAGAGTGCTTGTTCGGAGCCGGGATGTCTTCTGCCACTTTGTCCTCCTCCGCCTCTAATGACACAAAGGCTTCTTTCGGAGCCAGAGCAACCAAGGCAGCGGCAGCATTGCTGCTTTGGAAGCACAGCTGGTCCCTTAAAGAGATTCGCTCCAGGAGCCAGTCCAACATGCAGTCAACACGGGGGTGAGGACAGGCGGCGGCAGCGGGGGGAACCCCGTGAACCAAGGCAGAGAAGCGGGTCTGCTTTCAGGGCCGTGGAAGTGTTTCTGGATCGACCTTCGATGCCTCCGATTTCCCCGGGCAGTTTCCTTTCACCAAGCCAGAGCTTTACTCGCGCTGGCGGCTTAGAAGGAGCCGGTTCTTCCCTTCAAAAAAAGGTGCCGGAACACCGTTCCGGTGTGTTCTATGACAAAAAAAGCACTGCTTTTCGGTAAGCATATTTGGTGCCTGGCTTTTTTTTTTTTTAAAGAAGCTTATTACCAAACATCTTTAAAGTGTCATTTCTTACAAATAGCAAGAAATTACATCCATTCACTTTTTCCAGTAGAAAGTTGCTGGCCGCCCAGAGCATATTCACGGCTGTCTTTTTTATACAAATATGATAGTAGCAGGATGTCAGCCTTGTGAGAAGGACATGCCGAAATAATAACTCTGTCTTTGCTTAAGGTGACCAACTTTTTTGCAATGAAAAGGAGGACACAAAAAAATTGAAAAAAAATATTGTAAATAAAAGAACCATTTTATTCATTGCAACAATAATACAGACAACTTGCATGTGCAAAGTTTGCCAGCCGGGTGTTTTGGCGCACTCAGCAGCAATTCCTATTGGCTTTCAAAAGCCAATAGTGGGAGTAGCACAGCTCATGCAAAAGTTGAAAAAAAAAACATCCAAAAAAGGTGCCTGAATGCCGTTCTGAGCATTCTATGAGGGGAAAAAAAGCCCTGCAGATTAGTTTTCAAATATCAAAAAGGAGGACATGTAGGAGGACACTTTTCGAGGGAGGACAGAACTCACAAAAGGAGGACTGTCCTCCCTAAAGGAGGACGGTTGGTCACCTTACTTTGCTGCAAGGTTACACGAAGCAGGATCTTGCAAGTCTGAAAGTAGATCTCTTCCCCCATCCTCGCCTTTACAGTCCAAGAAACTAGGGAGGGTCCCTTCTGAGAGGTTTGCCATGCCCCCCTTCCTTCTGTGGACTCAGCTGCCTTTTACAGGTAGTCCTCAACTTACAACTTGGTTACTTAGTCTGTATGACAGACATGGGGGGGGGGATCTGAATTCAAAGCTCCACCTGTCACATGGCCACACTTTGGATGCTTGGCAACCAGGCTAAAATTACAGCTGTTTACAGCATCCCCCAGTTACATTATTTCATTTTATGAAACTTTCGGTGAAACTAGCATTTACTTCCGGTTTTCAGTAAAAATCACACTCATAGTGATCTATTGGTTTGCTTAATGACTGCAGATTCACTTAATAACCACAGCGAGTTACTTAATGTCTGGTGCAAAAAAGGTTGTAAAATCAAGTTGGTCGTGTAACCAACCCACTTTAGGACTGTCATGAGTTAACATTTGTGAAGGGCAGACTCCATTATGGTGGTAACTCAAGGACTACCTGCAGTGGGCCATTGTCTACTCTTCAGCTCTTCCTCCTATCTCCCCAAATCATTCCCACGTGCCATCACATATAATTATTTACACATACATAATCATGGTTTTACATTCTTATGAGTGAAATATGGAGTTTGATCATAAGAACTAAGGATCATAGCACTTTTTTCCTGAAAAGACACATTGATTCAGATCTGGCCATGTTGCCCCAACTGTTTAAGATACCAGAAATGAACAATGTTTCATTAGATATTTAACCTGTTCGCCTGTCCTCCTTCTCCCAACTTCCTACCTTTATGGTTGTCTCTTTTGTTTTTCTTGCCTGCTGTAAATATTCCCATATAGCTGGCAACCCTTGACTAAACACCTCCACTGGTGGGTCCATCATAGGATTCCCTTCCAGTGATAGATCTTGCAATTTTTCTAGACTGTCCAGGTTCTCTGGGATTTGAAATAATTGGTTGTTATGAAGTAATAGCTTCTGCAAACCTAAAGACAAATCAGGAAAAAAAAAATGAAACGGTGTGATGAGCTAAGTTGGCTAGGAAGGCCAAGAATTTTCTTTGTGTGTGTGTTTTTCTTTTTACCTTGTAGTTGGCATATGGAGTCAGGCAGTTCTATAAGAAAGTTGTTATGAGCGTCAAGTATTTCCAGGTTATTCAGTAATCCTATGCTTGATGGAAGGTACTCCAAGAAGTTGTTTTCGATGTACAGTTCTTTTAAATTCTAAGGGGGAAATGCACATGCCCATTTGGCCAGATGTGGCTACTGACTTGTCCAGAAATTCAAGTAATCTTCAGAAAACTTTAATGAGAAGCCACAGATAATTTTAAATGGGGAAAAAGGCAAAATTGAATCCGCAAGCCCTTCCACAGAACTGACCACTTAGGATGTTTGTCTCCTGAATCCTTGCCATCTCCATTCCTTTGCCCCAAAACTATCTTAGAGTCTATCTGCTAAGTAACATCTCAGGTAAGTCAGCAATCTTGCAGTGAAGAGATAAAACACAAGGATCAACTTATGGGGGAATCACAATTTCCAAACCAGAATTCAGCTCAGTCAGGGAAGAGGAGAAAACAACACCAAAATATGCAGGCCAGTTTGGTCTAGTGCAAGGGTAGGCAACCTTGGCTCTTTTATGACTCGTGGACTTCAACTCCCAGAATTCCTGAGCCAGGCTGGCTCAGGAATTCTGGGAGTTGAAGTCCACGAGTCATAAAAGAGCCAAGGTTGCCTACTCCTGGTCTAGTGACTAAGGCACCAGGCTAGAAAGTGGAAGACTGTGAGTTCTAATCCTGCCTTAGGCATGAAAGCCAGTTGGGTCACTTTAGACTGGTCACTCTCTCTCAGCCCAACTCATTTCAGAGAGTTGTTGTGGGGAAAATAGGAGAAAGGAGTATTAGATACGTTAGACATCTTGAGTTATTTATAAAATATAGATTAAAATAAACGCTGATAATATGGTGTTTCTAAATGTCGGTGGGAAATTCCAAGACTTTGATGACAGTAGAATCCCATCAATCTGTATTTTTACCCCATATCTCCTCAGTAAATGGTGAAGAAAGATCTTAGCAGCGTTTTCTTTGTGCCAACATTCTGTGAGGACCTACAGGTAGTCCTCAACTTACAACCATTAGTTTAGTGAACGTTCAAAGTTACAACGGCACTGAAAAAAAGAGACATATAGCCAGTTTATCACACTTATGACCATTAGAGCATCCCCATGGTCATATAATCAAAATTTGGATGTTGGCACCTGGAAGTGTCTTGAAGTCATCCAATCATCTTTTGTGACCTTCTGACAAACAATCTAATGAGGAAGCTAGATTCACTTTACAACTGTGTTACTAACTTAACAACTGCAGTGATTCACTTAAAAACTATGTCAAGAAAGGTCATAAAATGGAGCAAAATTTACTTAACTGTCTTGCTTAGCAACAGAAATGTTGGGCTCAATTGTCATAAGTGGAGGACTACCTGTACAGAATCCCTTGTGCCCCTGACAGACGCCAATCTCAGCTTTGCACAGCATTTGCAGCTGTTAAGTTCATCAGGGTAGG